TGCATCAGTATTTCATTAATATAGTAATAGCGGATTTATGTGTGTATTAACTAAATAAGTGTGCCCCTATGCTCATGGTGAAAAATGAAAATACACAAAATATAAATATTTTAGTTGTAAACATCTATAAAAATATATATTTGTAATTTCTCCACTAACATTGTTAAATCAGGTCGTTTACTGTTATCTGTGCGTCGCGCAATCCAAATGGATCAAAAAAAATCACATGGTTTATAAGTTTATATTCTATAATTTAAGCAACTAAAAGAATTGACTTGTATTACCATAAGAGACTGTCCATATTTAGGTCATGCTATGTATAGACGAAAAATATATTAGATTTATGTGTTTTTCAATTTCTGTAGCTAGGTTTTAGAATAAGTAATTTTTTAATAAGTTTTTTTTTTTTGAGAAGATTCTTTTTTCAAAAAAAATATATACGATAAACATTTTGAATCCTAATTATTGATGTATGAACATGTATTTTCATAAACATATGCAACTAATAAAGTATAGAAAAAATATATTATAACCTTATCCTAAAAGAAAATCAGTAGCTGGTGGGTCATATCCTCATACGTGTTTAGGCATGTCCAAACGGCTGGTCTGGCCCAGATTCTGAGTCCGGGCTAGATTGAGGAAGTCATTGGGCCTTGGCCGTATTATTTGTTTTGTTTTGTTTTTTCAAAAAATGACTAAAAAATAGAGTTTTTGCCAAAAAAATATATAGAATTTCAAGATTAATTAAAATACGTGAACTTTTAACAAAAAATCAATCTTATTATTAGTCACTTATAATTAAATAATTTGCAAGTTCATATAATTAAAATGATAAATTTATTATTAATCATTAACAATTATTACTTTTTTTTAGACATTGTCACATCACAATAGATGAGTACATCCCAACTAGGTTGGCACCTACTCATCTCATTAAGTACTATCATCGGCAGCTCTTTTCAAAATAATTTATTACAGATTTATAGTTAAGAAATAAAAAGTATAAATTATATAATAACTTTCTACTCTTTATATCTCTCTTATCTTCAACTCATTAAGTCTACTTTTAATACTAGCTATTCGATCGATGCTTTGAATTCTCTTCTAGTACTCCCACCAATCTTGTAGGCACATTATTGCATGTACAGTAGACGGATCCAGCGATGCTCTGTAGTCATCGATCAAACATCCTGATGTGCTGAAAATGGATTCCGAAGCTAAAGTAGAAACATGCACTATTAGTAAGTTACGAGCCATGATGAAAATACAGGATATAAAAATGTTCCATATAATCTCCACCATTGCAAAATATCGAATTCAACATTACTTTGAGGTTTAACTAAGGTGATAGCTAAATATTGTTCATTTTTAGAAATTTCCCTCATTGATCATCTTGATTCGGATCCAAAGCTACTACCCACACTTGTTAGCCTCGTATCATCAATTTCCTATCAAAAAGCTTACATTTGCCCCTGTTTGAGCTTGTAGAAGCAGTAGGCTGAGGTGTACTTACACCATATATATGTGCATACTCATCAAATAATATTTAAAAATAATATTTAATAGTGTTATAATGAGTAAGAGCAGTAATAGTCTGAGCCGTTTGACCTTCCTCAGCTGCTTCCATTATTGTGTTCTTATATAAAGAATTTAACAAACTTTGGAGGTCAATATCCTTCAAGTATGGATCAATAAAAATCTCCAAACAAAGAATAAAAGGAATTGGTCTAAATTACATATTAAGTTTACTTTCCATTTTAAAAATCATATTTGAAAAATAATTATCCATGCAATAATTATTAAGAAAAGTTTGAATATTTAAAACTTGTAAATCAGCTTGAGTAATAGTTGGATAATAACAACCATATAATATCATAATAGCTTAAAGCTTGTAGTATCTCTTTTACACAATTTATAATTGTCCATTATCCATCAGTTGTTCCATACATATTACCAGAGCTAGAACTAGAAGCATAGAAAATAATAAATATAATTTCTTCATATTATACTACTACATTTGACATTACATAGGTGGAATTCCACACGTGGTCAAAATCTTTTAGAATTAACTTAGATTTTATAATTTTTTTCTTCTACACAATTATTTTTATCTTTTAAGTCTTTGTTCAGAAGTATTATGAGGATAAGCTATAACCCTAACTTTTTTTATCATTGATTTAATTCTATTCAATGCACTTTGAATATTTTAATTCAAAATATGACGCATGTGTATAATATGAAAAATATCACCATGGCTTGACAATAGTAAAGATAATTTGATATGATCTACAACTACATTATTATTAGTTGCATTATCAAATAAACGAGAAAATATTTTTTTAGAAATTTCTAATTTTAAAAGTTCTTCAATTATTAAATTTGTAATCTATACACTAGCGCGTGAATCTTCAAATGAAATAAAACAAAAAAACTCTTTTAAATATTTACCAAGTGTCATCAATCCAGTGTGTTGTGATACATAAATAATCAGTTTGTGCTCTATATATCTAAATATCAGAAATTAGAGAAAATTTACAGTTTAAGATTAAGAAATTATTTTTTCCTTATTATAATATTTTAAAATATAACATTAACAAGATTGACGAGAAATTTTTTGAAATGCTGGATAAAAACCATCTCTTCAAATCCGCAAATTCATCATATTCTACTAATTTAAAAGGAATGTTTTAAAAATAATAAACCTGATGACGGATTTTTCTAGCATTAATTGCATCATAGTTCCATGAACCTAGGCTACGAGAGGTAGATGATTGAGGGATTAGAGATTGACGGATGTCACCTTGAGACGTCGCTTTCCCTTTGCTATGTTTTTCCAAATGGCATTTGTGGTGGTTAATGCAGCCTTTATGATGAGCTTCAAAGATATGGCTGCATAAAGCACATTTGGCCTTGGATAAGAAGTTTGTCGTGTTGATCTCTGGGAACTTCTATCTTCTCAAAGAAAGCATACACTTCGGATCTCGGCCTTTTAGGAGCTCTATGTGTTGGCTCATCACTGCCAGATTCGGGATCAATATCGATAGTAGGAAGAGTAGTTGTAGGACTCATTTTGGGAGTTAGAATTTACCCTTCGTAATCGAAGGAGGAAGCCATTGGGATTAGAGAATAGTGTATTACAAAGGATAAGAGGGAAATTAGATAGTATAATATTGTATTAGAGAGAATAAGAGAGTATTAGAGAGAAGTAGATGAGTTTTGTATGAGAAAAATAAATAAAACCCCCCTCTATTTATAGTGGCAGCCCCTTAGCCAGATGACCAAAATACCCTAAAATTTTGATTCATTTTTTACCGTTTTTAGGGTATTTTGGTTATTTGACCAAAAATAGTCGTTATAGGCTATTTACACTGCCCGAAGCGGACCATGTCTGAGCCGAGCCAGGCTAAACCCAATCCAAGGACTAGTTTTCTAACCGTTGGACCTAGGGCTGAGCACGGTTCGGTCCAAACCGAAAAAACCGATCGAACCGACCCGACCCGATCCGAAAAAATTGGTTTTATGAGTAGGGCGGTTCGGGTCGGTTTGAAAACTTTTCAACCCGAACCGACCCGAACCGACCCGAACCGACCGAATATAGTGCAATACTACTCATTTTGATCTCAAACCCTACCCATCCCGTCCCCAAAGAGTCAAAGACTCAAACTCTAAACTCATTTTCTGGATCATCATGGGTTGAAAACAATATCATTGTATCAGTGTTTAATGCTTCATAATCTCCTATACTTTGTTGATATTTTTTTCTTTAACACAGATTGTTGTTTGATAAGAAGTTTGATGAAGTTAGAACCGAACAAACCGAACCGAACCGACTTGTAACCGTTCGGTTCGATTTTGAATTATAGACGGTTCGGTTCGGTTGTTCAAATTTTGGTAAAAACCGAACCGAACCGACCGTTGCACACCCCTAGTTGGGTCGACTCGGTAATCCAACGGCTTCTTAGCTAGATGTTGGACCTGGAATACATAGTGTCCAGATCTGTCGCTCGGACGCAAAGTCGGGTTATTTAACCCGGCCATGTATAACCCGGGCCGGGCCGAGCTGGGGCCGGGCTTCAACGAACCAACTCAGACATGGCCTCGGAGCCCAGTCTAGCCTTGTTTTTCGGGCTTTTCCCAGTTTCGGGCCTGGCGTTAGACTAGTCGTGTCTGAACTGATGGGCCAAATGGACAGCCCTATATATGCCCTTGTACAATGATATATACCTATGACACACTAGAGACTTTTGTTACTCTAATAGCTTCCACCCATCTCAATGAGTTCGGATTACCAGCACCTAGGCTATGGAGATCGTACATAGAGGCCTTGCTTATTAGCCATCATGTGATACATAAGTGAAGTGGGTTTGATTGCCACCCTTTGAAAGAGAGGAGGGGGAAAAAGAACCATTGGCAATAAATTTTGGCCCATTATCCCCAGTAAGTGTGAGGGTGGCAAACGGGTCGACCCGACCCGACCCGACCCATATAAAATTTGACCCGACCCGTATAAGTTTGACCCGACCCGACCCGTTTAATAAATGGGTCAATGTGATCCGACCCGATTATTAAACGGGTTACCCGACCCGACCCATATAACCCGAATAACCCATTTATCTAATACAAGACATCCTAACACATATAACTAATAAAAATTTTTATACAAGCACAAAAGAACACTTCTTGCAAGCTCTTTAGACAAAAACTATCATTACTTACAACATGGAGTTATTTCAAAGACATATTCAGTATTTAAATGTACTTCAACGAATTGTAAATATCGACAAACAAAAATACATCGATACAACTCTTTAGACACAGAATAATCTAAATTAAAAACTAGCAACAAAGAATTTAACACAAGTAAATAAAGAGAATATACACAAGTTTACAACAAAATAGTTAGGAAATTGATTGCCACTATCATAGTCCATCACTCTTTCTACAACTACTTGGGAATATTGTGGGAAAATATTAGTGAGTCTGGGATTATTGTGGGAAAATATTAGTGTGACTCAGGAGTATAGAGGTCCAAGAAATGTGATGATGCAATTTAGACTGAATGAGGAACAGAAACCAAACAAGTACATCATGTTCGTTTCTCTAGATCAACAAAAGTAATCCAATCCACAAGATACATGGATAGCTACTGCATTTTCAACTATTTATGTTATGCAAGCCATGCAATTGGCAAAATAATATTATCTACAAACCGAAAAAAAAAGCTAGTAGTAGCCTTTTTATTAGAAATACTCTTATTATTTTTATTAGAAATACTCTATTATGTTTCAGTATGGATGAAACAACAAGAAAACAAAATGACAGTTAATCGCCTTCACAACAAAATTACAAAAAATTCAGGGTTTTATAGAAAGTATAACTGGTGAGATCATTAACCAAAATGACAGTTGTAATATCAAGAAATAAGAGGAGCATAGATGTGGAGGTCTTACAACAGCTTCTTGGTTGGACTAGTAACTTGAAGATGCCTAACAAAACGAAGCTGCACAAAGGAGAAGGAAAACACAAACTAAAATCACATTGTGATCATAAAAAATATTCAGAGATTTCATGAATGTAAGCTATGATCGGGGTTCAAGGCTTCGATAAGCAGTAAATGGATAGCCATTAAGAGCATGTTTGACAACCTTCAGCTACCGCATCATAGTATGAGAGATTCAAACTTGTGTTGGCATAGATTCTCCAATATCTAATTGCATGATATCCTCAGAAAGCTCGTCTAATTTTGGTTGCATGTCATCTATCATTAATGAAAAAACCAATAAGCAAATTCATAACATGTATTCTGATTCAAAAAAACGTAAAAAATATAACATTAGTATTTGTCTACCTTTGATACCATATAACCAATCACGCGTGCAAACTAAAGCCTCAACATTGTTAGGCTTAAGAGTGCTACGGTATTGGTTAAGGATTCTCCCACCTACACTGAAAGTACTCTAAGAAGCAACTGTAGAAATAGGAACCGCCATTATGTCCCTTGCTAATAAAGAGAGCTCGGGGTATATATGCTCATTAGTCTTCCAAAATGAAAGAATATCGAGTTGAGCACCACGGTCAAGTCTTGGTTCATCCAAATAAAGCTCTAATTGGGTCTTTTGAGAACTAATAATTTCTTGACTTTCAAATGAGTCGAATTCCTAAATATAAAAAACATGAGAGAATAAATTAGATAGTATGTGGTCTATATCAACAGAATTTACAGAGAAATGTTGGAATTGAACACTCCCAATGCAAATTAACTACTACTGCAAGAAGATTATGCAGCGGTAATTTCCTAGCGCAAGATGCTCGATTCCAAAAATCCAACAATGGTCAGGAATTGATCGGCCAAACCAATTTGTCTACTACATCAATAGTTATCTACATTGATGCAAAACACAAGGGGTTCATAATTATATCCAATTACATCTGTTTTGTTTGATTCATTCGAACATATCCATCATAAAGATCCAAGAAAAGTTACAGATCCATGAATACATCCTAGTTATTAGCAGACCATGTGATCCTTCATCTGAGAAATTGAATATTTGTTCCAAACTAAAAGCATGCTGATGATATTTCATAGACCTGGCTGAATCTAGCAGCCCGAAAATGAAATTTGCAAAAACAATAAAAACACAAAATCTCATAGTATATAAGCTAAACAGCTAGGGAAGAAGATCCCTGCAACGTGCATGTAGATGTACGCTTTTGACAACACATGGTGGATAATTAACTTGTTGGTGTCGATACATGGAAGAAGCCATGAAGGTGTATGATTGTGGTTTTTTTCACTAATACATCCTAATTATTCAATTTCTCAGTTAATGGAGACGTAAGCAACTTCTAGACCAGCAAAAAAACAATAATTTCTTAAAGATATTGTGACCTACTTGTATACATGATAATATGAGATGGATTTAATTGAATTTATTGAAGTAGTTATTAGTAGACCATGTGATACGTATTAATGACTAATCAACTAGATAGAGAAAACAAATGAGTATGGAGGAGTAGAATGGTTGAATGAATTGCTCTGTTTATCATAGCATGTTTCATTACCTCTATCTCAATGCAAAAACAATAAAAACTAAGAGATATAACATAATGTGGAAGTAGCAAGAAATTATACACATACAAGATAAAAATACATGCAAAAACAATAAAAACTAAGAGGTATACTAATTACTTGAGAAAGAAATTACCCTCAAGATATCAATGCAATCTTGATCAAATGTGTCATCATACACACGAGAAGTTCATTTCTCCAAGTTTCTTCTTCTCTTACCATCCATATTGCTCGAGTACTCAATAAAGAGAGAGAAAAGCTTGTCTTTCACATTCTTAAGCTCCGTAGAATTGTGTTCATATAACCCATGATAACAAAACTCTACAAATTGCATTTTGTATCGGGGATCCAAGATGCACGCAATAGCAAGTAGAACATTGTACTCACTCCAATATTTTTCAAATTTCTTGTACATTTTGGTTGCTATTAACTTAACATATTCATCATCATCTTTCATCCCACTCTTTAAAGTACGTTGCACAACAAATACTTGAAGAAAGTAGAGATTAGCCGTTGGATAATTTGTACCGGAGAAAAGACAAGTGACGTTATAGAAAGTGGCTAGAAAGTGGCTAACAACCTCTTAACCTTCTCGGCCTTATCCCATTCTTCTTGAGATGGACAAAGTCTTGAGTAGTTGGAATCACTCAATTGCATGTGTATAAATGCACGGCGATAGTATAAAGCACTCTCAAGCATTAGAAAAGTAGCATTCCATCTTGTTGGAACATCTTGCCTTAAACTCTTCTTCACTTCCAAAGATTCATGAGAGACACATTCCCAAAATTTTTGTTTTCTAATTTGAGAGCCTTTTATATATTTGACGCTTTCTCGAATTTTATCAATACAACCATGGACTTCTTTTAAACTATCTTGGACAATCAAGTTGAGGATATGAGTACAACATCTAATATGAAAAAATTCTCCCTTTCCAAGAAGTGCTTCTTTCAAATTAAGTTGTTTTTTCAATAAATCAACAAAAACATCATTTGCGGAGGCATTTTTCAATAAATCAACAAAAACATCATTTGCGGAGGCATTATCAAGAGTGAAAGAAAACAACTTCTTTTCAATTTTCCAATCAACTAACAACTTATGCGGAGGCATTATCAAGAGTGAAAGAAAACAACTTCTTTTCAATTTTCCAATCAACTAACAACTTATAAATCTTCTCACAAATGGCAACACCGGAATGAGGAGGTGGCATATAAGAAAAGTTAAGAACCCGATTTAGTAATTTCCACTCATGATCAATGTAGTGTGCCGTGAGACAAATATATCCGTCGGTGGCTATTGATGTCCATAAATCGGAAGTCAAGTTAACTCTACCCGGAATCGATTCAAAAGCTTCTTTTAGCCTATTTTTCTCTCTTCCATAGATTTTAAGAACATCGGCTTTAACCGTATTTCTTGATATGTGTTTTAGATCCTCACAAAGATAAGAGAAGATTGCTCGAATACCTTCATACTCAACAAATTGAAATGGCAAATCGTGCATAATGATGGCCGAGACTAAAAGCTCCCTAAACTTATCCGGATCAAAATTAAATCTTGAGGAACTCATTATAGAATCTTTTGAGTTAGATAGACCCTCAATATCTTCTCTAGTAGCTTTCTTACAAATTTTCATGTGTCTTAACATGTTCTTTGTCCCATGGTTACCTTCGGCAATATATTTGATTCCACACTTCTTACATATTGAATATTGTTTCCCACCTGGCTCTTCAACAAGGTCAAACATTTTCCAAGCTTTGGATGTTAATTTTCTTTTTCGACTTCCAACAATTATCGCTTTTGATTTTTTCTGAACAGGACTAGACATGTCTTCTAATTCTTCATTAGATGAATCTGCTTCTACATTATCTGCTATAGAATTATGGGTAGAATTAGACTCCATTAGCTGTGATGAAAATTACAGAACTACATAAGATTAATAAAATTAAATAAAATTCAACAGATAACACAAATTAACTGATTCTAAACAGAATTAACATTTGAGTATGTATGTAATATGTATGCATGCAAAATGTGTATGTATGTATGTGTATGTGTGTAATTTATAAACGTTATGCTAACTATATTTATGTGGGGAGATTGCACTTCAAGATGCAACCAATTCTCTGGTCCAAATTTGCCATAAGTATATTATAGTTTTCTGGTCCAAGTTTGCAATAAGGGTGTTACAGTAAAGTGTCAATGTAGATGGAAAGATTTAAAAATAAGATCCGATTTGCTCCGAATTCAGATAAAGCTTACGTGGTCAAAGTCCCCAAATTAGCCTAAAGCAGGTTACACACAATTGCAAATATAACTCAAATAGTTACAGCGAATCAAACAAGCCATTTAATCAACAAAAAAAAACCAAGTTGAAAGGGGGAGAAAAGAGAAATTATTGAATATAAGAACGAAAGAAACCTAATTTTGATGAAGCTTAGAGAGAGAAAGAGAGAAATTACAGAGAGGATCGAGCTCGCCGTTTGTCGCCGCTCGTCGCTCGCCGTCACTTCGTCGTCAGCCTCTCGCCTATCGCCGCCGCTGCGTCGTCAGCTCTCGCTTATCCCGCGCTCCTCCTCGCTTAGCAGTCGCCGCGCCGCCCCAGCTCCTCGCGCCCTCGCCTCTTCGCCGCCACACGCAGATTGGGAAACTAGTTTCGTTTATGAAGAACGAAGAGAGACCCGAATCTTTCAACCGTCGTTTCTAAACTTATACGGGTCCGCCTCTTGTGTTATACGGGTTAGCGGGTCAACCCTAACTTACCCATCTACATAAAGGGTCAAGTTTGGGTGAACCCATTATGACAGCCAGTACCATTATAAGATGACCCATAACCCAATATAAACGGGTCGGGTCCGTCGCGTTGATGGTCGGGTCAAAAACTGCCACCCCTAAGAACCGTGACCGATGCGAGTAAGCCTTGGTTCAAAAGTCAAAAGTCGATCTGCGTTTATGTCATGTCTATCTCTAGGGGCGGATCTATATATGTAATGTCATGTGACACGATTTTCTTTAGATTTTCTCATTTGGTGCTTTGATTTCCATACAGGCTCATACAAACAAATGTCATTTAGTGTTTTGATTTCTATATAGGCCCATACAAGCAAATGAAGCTTAGATCAAATAAAATTGTTTTGATGCAAATCAAACCAGCCAATAGACAAAGGGACAACGTAGGATCAACTTGATATCTATTAATTTATCTAGATAAAGGGTTGAAAAAGAGTTCTCTTCATAAAATTACAACATGTTTCGTATATTTTATGAATTGAAGTTATTAAAGTATGATTATGTTTTTGATAATGTTATTAATCATGTATTTTTGTTTTTGAAATATGAAAATTTATTGGGAAGTGTAGACAGTTTTAGCTATAACTATACGGTGACACCACTTTTTAGAAATCCGAAATCCACAACTGTGCCTATTCTTAATTTTTAATTATCAAATAGTGCAACACTTTTGCTATTTACCTAGATCTGAACTGTGAAAGGAGCACTTCAACCTCAGAATTTACTCGGTGAGTATAAGAAAAGTTCCTTGCATTAAAAAAAAGAGTGGCCCATTGTCAATGCAGATGCATTTAGAATCCCATCTATAACAGAGAATATTTTTTATGTTTTATCCTTGTATCTCTTGGAGCACACAGTTCGTTATTAATTTGCATATGAAATGATATATATAGGTAAATGTTAGTAAGCAATAGTGTAAATGAAACATCCAAAACTATTGAAAATGAAGGGAGATATTACTTGTGCAAATGATATTATGATTGCTTCATTAGTATGGAGAAGTAGAATACCAAGGTCCAAATACTCAGTTCAGTGAGCTAGCAATTGTGAAATTTTATAATCTCGTCTTCTATTCAGTGAGCTAGCAACAGTGTCTTATTCGAATTTTCGGAACAAAAGAACATGAGAAACAATGTTCTGATTCCAGATTCTTTGAATTTCAAATGATCTCTTTTTATATGAACTGCTGAAATTTTCATTAACAAATAGAAAACCAATTGTCTAAGAGAACTTTCTGAACAAGCAAGGTCCTCTTAACAATTCATTTGAAAATCTAACAGGTTCAGAAGAAAACCTAATAAAATGCAAGCGCGCCAAAGTCAATTTCCTAGAGTATCAGTCGAGGAAGTATCCATATAGTCACATAATACAACTAACTATTCACCTAATAAAAGTTGTTGAACGGAACGATGGGTGAAGTTTCAGATGGCAAGTTGAAGAGGATTCCTATTTGAAGAATAAGTTCAATACCTAATAAGCAGTAACAATGCACAATGGCTATAGTGAATCTAGTGATACATATTGTTACATAGTATACTAACTATTTACTCTATTCCTACCATTAATCTGCCAATAATATAGAATGACTCATCAAATAGAATGCCTGATACCACATAACATTGCAGTAAGAATAACTATAAAAATAGAATAAGCTTTATACCTTAGAAACTTAATAGCGGGAAAATGGATGCTTTATCTTCCGAAAAAGTGTTTTAAGTCACTGCTACAGCCATCAGAGATACTGCTTCACTTTCTCGCAGCTAAGCTTATATTGAGAATAGACAGAGATAGACGCACATGATGCCATGGAAACTATCAATAATTCCAAAATATTTGATTCCTTCTGTATTGCTTCTTCAAATACATCTTCACTAACTTAGAGTAAGTCCATTCTCTTCTCTTGCTCGACTCCAACACCACCTCCGAACTTGAGTGGAAATCTCCCTTGCCAAACACATCAAACACCAACAAATCAGTTTCAACTACGGGAGAGCTCTCCCCATCCAATTCATCCAAAGCAAAAGACAAGTTTCTCCCAAGCCTTCTCTCCAAATACAAATCCACAACACAACCATATGTCACAAGATCAGGAACAAGCCCTTCATGTTTCATATGAACAATGCTCAAATGAAGATCCCAAAACATGCACATCCTCGAAAAAGCAAGAGCCCGCACATTAAAAGTAGTGAGATCAGGCCTAAATCCAGCCTCCACCATATTCAAAAACTCCCTCTGAAGGCTCTTCATCTTAAAATTGGCAGCATAAGAGAGCAAAAGCAAATTCCATAATAGATTCCCAGTGTTCCTCCTACCGAGTCCCACATCCCTCAAGAACTCCCCCAACTTATAGAACTTCTTCTCGCTTATATAAGCACGTGCTACCGCCCTGATAGCTTCTTCTTCTATAAGAATTCTCGATCTCTTCATTCGATGATAAGCTACTTCCATCTCCTCTAAAGAACCAAACATGCTATAATACTTAACGAACGCGTTCCCAATCAAAGAATCAACCTTTAACCCTCTCGAAACCATAATTTTAATTATATCCTCCATCATATTAAGCTGCCCAGATTCTCCAAAGCAAGAGACAGCCAAGGAATAAATCCCCAGCTCAGAACCAAAATCTCTATAGACTGATTCCTGCACAATTCTAACTATCTCATCAAATTCCCCAAACTTTGCATAAACATCCATAAGGGCGGAAACAATTTCAATGCTGGGCTTATATGAACTACTTATAATCTCACCCCATAAAGCTTGGGCATTGGAAAAATTTCCATTTTGGGCATAATAAAGCATCAGAGCAGAAAGAGAAGCGCAGTTGGGCCGAAAGCTCTGAGCTTTCGTCTCTGAGTGCACTTTCGCGAGCTGAGTGTCGTTAAAGTTTCCATTTTTTAGTCTTTGTGAGCCCTAAACTAGTGAGAAAGAAATTGATCAATGAGATGTTGAATTGAGGTATAATTGGTTAGCAAGAGGTTGGTACCTTTCGATTTGAGATCCTCGGCTGTAGAGGAACCCTAGAATTCTTTGAATTGGGGGAGGGATTCAGGGAATTTGTTAGGGTTAGGGTTTCCATCTTCGTTCTTTAATTTGGTGAAGGGAGATGCAACGGTAACAGGTGGATGAAGAAAAGTAATTGTTTGTGGGTTCGGATCTGAGTCGGACAAATTTTCAAAACCGACCCCTTTGGGTTTTTAATTGCAAAAAACGACCCATTTCAATATTATTTATAAAAACCGACCCAGTTAGTTGAAACCGGGTTAGTTTTTAAAAAAAAAATTCTCAAACTTCACGGGAGTTCAACTCCCATGAAGTTTTGTTATGAGAAAAACTTCACGGGAGTTCAACTCCCGTGAAGTTTCCCAAAAAAAATAAAAAAAACCGACCTGTTTTCAGCCAGTTCCCAAACTTCACGGGAGTTCAACTCCCGTGAAGTTTTGTTATGAGAAAAACTTCACGGGAGTTCAACTCCCGTGAAGTTTCCCAAAAAAATAAAAAAAACCGACATGTTTTCAGCCCCTGGCTGAAAACAAGTCGGTTTTTGTAAATATTTTTAAAACCGGTCATTTTTTGCAATTAAAAACTCAAAGGGGTCGGTTTTGAAAATTTATCCGATCTGAGTCATCTGACTGAGCTCAAAGTCTAATAAGCCCCTGAACTTTACACAATTTTTCTATGAACCCTTAAACTCCTATTTCGATCAATTAAGCCTCTAATCTTACACAATTGTTCCATAAAGTCCTTAAACTTATATTTCTATCTATTAGGCCCCAAAAATTTTTAACTTTAATTCTATTTGGTTCCCATGGTCTTTTTAAGCTCCAAACACCATCCAAAATATTGTTTCAGTTAGGATAGAATTGAAATGTTGTAAAAAGAATCATATGACAAAGCTATTATAGTTTGAGTTTTGATATTATTGCTATTTGTTCAAAGTTTAATTTTTTTTTACCGCTTAGTATGCAAGTCTTGTGGTGTACACAATGAAAATCCAAGTATTGTAATATTAAACAAAATCAAGATACAAGAATATAGAAAAATTTCTGATTGGAAGAGAAATAACAATCAATGAAAGCTTAGCGAGATTTTTCTTTAAAGAAACATTGATGATTGAGACTCCACAATACCTGTACATTCGTCATCAGAATTGGTTCCTTTTGGCTAACCTCTGATAGTTGACAGGGGGAATGGCTCTTGTTCGTGTCCGAGTGCGTTGGTAGATTCCTTCAAACTCGTTAGCGATTTCTCTGACGCTTGGAGAACGATCCGTCTCTGACTCATCAGAACTAGGGACTGACGACTCCCTCTACCGATCACATTGATAGTGACTCCAGAATACTCGATCTATGAAAACTTCTTCTTGTAATGATGTCGTCGCTTGCTTGGTCGAGCAACACTCGTCAATCGGTCGAACACTGATCACCTAGGCACAAAATCACAACATTAGCATTCTGAGAGGACCGCAGAAATAAACCGCTCACATTGACATGAATGAGTGGCTTATTGCATCGGTCTTTCTCTTGATAAAAGTCCCCTTAGGGGGGGTTAGTCACATTGAACTTTTTAAGTAGAACTGGGATAATTGCTAAAGTGGGATAATTTTTTGACACTGGGATAATTTAGTGGAACAATGATGGATAATTCTTGAAGTGGGATAATTTGATAGGATAATTTAGTGGGATAATGGTGGATAATTTTATGAAGTGTGATAATTTGATAGGATAATTTGGTGGAGTAATGGTGGGTATAAATTATTATTGTTAATAATTGTATATTAAAATAAGGGAAAATTGCTTGGGGGAACCTAATTAAATTGGGCCATGCATCCCCACCCCAAGCCCAAAGACCATAACCAAAAAGCCCTAAACTTGAGAGATATGTGCAACCAACCCCTAAACCCACTGCCCAAGAAAATCTCTTCCCAATTTACCCTTCTTCTTCCCAATTTAAAAGCTGCTCAAGCCAATGTTAACTCTCCTCCGCCTCCAGCGCCTCCACCGCCGCCATTTCTCAACCTCTCCCTCCCAGATCCTCTCCCCCTCCGACCCCTCTGCCGTCCTCACCTCCAAGCAAAAATCCCTTACCGCCCTCGCCCTCCTCATACAAATCCCCCGTGATCCCTCCCCCTCCTCAATCAAACGTCGAGCATGGATGAAGATGAAGATCTACGCGAGAAACCATGGCGTCGACACCGTCGTCCACCACGCCGGCCAGGCCGTCGCCGGCGGCGCCAACATTTTCCAAGATCGCATGGTATTTTTGCCCTAATTTGCAATTTAATGCCCCAAAATTTGACCATTAAGTGAGAAAAGAGAAATTTGAAACTGCCCTCTGGATGTTGAAATGCATCAAGAGATGGGAGAGAGATTTGGGCTCTTGTTAATGGATTCAAGAGTTGAATGTCTCGGCCTTGGATATCAACAGTACACAACCAACCATGATTAGATCCAATAAGCACTTATTTCTTATTTCTGGCACAAGTAACTCACCGTAATTGATGTCTTCCCACTAGTTATCATGACATTGCATTAGCAATGGTATGGGAGGGGGTTTATTGGGAAGGATACAGTGGCATAATGGTAATTTTGGTGGAAGCAAGTGAAGGCTATCAATGATAAGGGAAAATTGCTTGGGGGAACCTAATTAAATCAAGATCGCATGGTATTTTTGCCCTAATTTGCACTTTAATGCCCCAAAAATTGACCATTAAGTGAGAAAAGAGAAAATTTTGGGGGGCATTGAAGTGCAATAAGCTGAAAAAGATAAAATTTTCGCAAAAAGAACTGTAATTTTATTTTTTTGAATGGTTTGTAGGGAATGAAGAACTATAGGAGCTTTAAGCGAGCTTTAAGCAGACAATGAGAAGGCTGGAAGAAGCTGCGATGACTTGTAGAGGGCATGAGAGAGTTCAGCTGCTGAGGAGATGGCTGGTTGCTTTGAAAGGAATTGAGAAGGCTTCTGATGAGAAGAGTCCAGAGCAGGCTCAGTCTTCTGATGAGCCCAACTCCCCTAATTCTACTAATTCATCGAAATTATATAGTGTTGATGATAGCAGGACAGAGGATTTGTACTGCAGATTGCTATGTTGTTAGATTAATTTGTTGGTTCTTTGAAGAAAATTAGGTTGTAGGTTTGGAGAGTTATACTCTATTTGATGGGTTAAAATCATTTGTGGGATGATTTTGATATAATAACAGCTCAATTCTGTGTGACTTTTGGTGCCCATATGTGATATTTTAGTATGATGTGTGACTTATGCTGCATTTAGTCACATTTTAGTATTTTGTGTGACTTTTGTGGTTGTTACGTGACATTTTAGTATTCTGTGTGACTCTTGGGGCCCATATGTGACATTTCAGTATCCTGTGTGACTTTTGGGGCTGTTATGTGATATTTTTACATTTTCTGTGTTATATTCTTATTATTAGTTACATATCCTGCTATTAAGTGTTATGTTATATTTCTACAGATATGATTATGGCATACATGCGTATTTTTTCATCAAGACGATCCTCGAGGGAAGGGAGATAATGAACATTGAAGCATTGCACATGGAGTCGCATATGCTACGAGTAGGACTTGCTGCTCAACTCATATGTGAAGGGCGTGAATGGAAAAAAACTACGATTGAAATTAGACAGTGATGATCCAGAATATTTTTTGTACTTTGGGGGTAGTGATGTACCTATGAATGAGTGGAAGTATTAGACTCTACATGTAACTGTAACATTTGTTTAAACGCTATGATGTAAAGGATAACTAGTTTACTAGTTGTGTATGACATTTGTTGGATTGTTGTGTGAGCTATATGTGAAGATATATGACCATTAGTATGATGTGTAACTTTTGAGGCTGTTATGTGATGTTTTAGTATGCTGTGTGACTTTTGCTCCTTGTATGTGACATTTTGGTGTTCTGTGTGACTTTTGAGGCTGTTATGTGATGTTTTAGTATGCTGTGTGACTTTTTCTCATTGTATGTGACATTTTGGTGTTCTGTGTGACTTTTGAGGCTGTTATGTGATGTTTTAGTATGCTGTGTGACTTTTGCTCCTTGTATGTAACATTTTGGTGTTCTGTGTGACTTTTGAGGCTGTTATGTGATGTTTTAGTATGCTGTGTGACTTTTGCTCCTTGTATGTGACATTTTGGTGTTCTGTGTGTATTAGACAAACACATAACTATTTCATTTGTTGGATGTTGGATGTTTACTAGCTGTTTGTAAATGATAAAATGTGCATTTGTAATTTCTTGGTGATCTTTTTTCTTTAGCATATTAAATGGAATCTAAAAGTAAAGTTCTGACAGGTATCACTGTTAATACTAACAAGTCACACGAACATGTAATATGTCACATTTAAGTAGCAAATATCACAACAAAAGAGAAAATGTAACATGTAACAGACAACAGTCACAAAAGAGTTTGAATTCTGCTAGGAAACGTTAATCATACTAAAACATCACATAACAGCCTCAAAAGTCACACAGAAAACCAAAATGTCACATACAAGGAGCAAAAGTCACACAGCATACTAAAACATCACATAACAGCCTCAAAAGTCACACAGAGCACCAAAATGTCACATACAAGGAGCAAAAGTCACACAGCATACTAAAACATCACATAACAGCCTCAAAAGTCACACAGAACACCAAAATGTCACATACAAGGAGCAAAAGTCACACAGCATACTAAAACATCACATAACAGCCTCAAAAGTCACACAGAACACCAAAATGTCACAAGTCACACAGCATACTAAAACATCACATAACAGCCTCAAAAGTCACACAGAACACCAAAATGTCACATATAAGGAGCAAAAGTCACACAACATACTAAAACATCACATAACAGCCTCAAAAATTACACATCATACTAATGGTCATATATCTTCACATATAGCTCACACAACAATCCAACAAATGTCATACACAACTAGTAAACTAGTTATCCTTTACATCATAGCGTTTAAACAAATGTTACAGTTACATGTAGAGTCTAATACTTTTACTCAATCATAGGTACATCACTACCCCCAAAGTACAAAAAATATTCTGGATCATCACTGTCTAATTTCAATCGTAGTTTTTTTCCATTCACGC